CCAATTCTTTTCAATACTTTTTTCTTTGTCTCAATACTTTTTTTTAATCAGGGTAAAATTTGTAAGTACAATTGTAACAATACTTTTCCCCAAAATTTAAACAAAATTTTACCGGAGGCGGAGATACCGGCTGGGTAGAGTATTTACGCTCACCCTTTTTAAATATGTCATAAAATAATAAGAGTAGCCCGGAAACTCCTCAGGCTGGGTTAGTGTACGATAGGACGCCAGGTAATTTTATCTAAAAATTACCAAAATAATTCAAAATTCCAGGGGCTGCCCCGGACGATCAATCAACGATTTAAATTAATGTGAATGAAAAAGTAAGCCACAAAATAATTAAAGTTGAGATTAAGACAGAATTTACATTCAGAAATCATAAGTAATTAATCATAAAATAGTACACGGAAAAGAAAATGCGGTAAATCCAACTACACTTGGAGTAGCATTTACCACAGGATGGACTAAAGTATATATACGCTATAGTGTGTTTACGGATGATTTTCATGTGTTTCTGTGACAACTCCAAGTGATGTTGGATTTACCGCACGTTTTTTTCCGTGATATTAATCAAAATTCCATACAGGATTTAATTTATTATTTATAAAATAGATTTAGTTTTAAGCAACTTCGTTTTGAATAAATTGTTTGTTTATTTTTTATATTTGCTGATTCATTAGTGAATTATTTTATGTAAATTAATTCTTAAATTCTTCTCCTGCAACTCATCTTCCTATTTCAACTAATTAATATAAAGTACACGGAAAAAAACGTGCGGTAAACACACTATAGCGTATATATACTTTAGTCCATCCTGTGGTAAATGCTACTCCAAGTGTAGTTGGATTTACCGCATTTTCTTTTCCGTGTACTATTTTATGATTAATTACTTATGATTTCTGAATGTAAATTCTGTCTTAATCTCAACTTTAATTATTTTGTGGCTTACTTTTTCATTCACATTAATTTAAATCGTTGATTGATCGTCCGGGGCAGCCCCTGGAATTTTGAATTATTTTGGTAATTTTTAGATAAAATTACCTGGCGTCCTATCGTGCACTAACCCAGCCTGAGGAGTTTCCGGGTTACTCTTATTATTTTTATTACATATTTAAAAAGGGCGAGCGTAAATACTCTACCCAGCCGGTATCTCCGCCTCCGGTAAAATTTTGTTTAAATTTTGGGGAAAAGTATTGTTACATGCCTATTGCCATATATTTTATTAGTTCACCTACTGCTCCCGGAGTATTCAACTACTGCGGCTTGTCAGAATTGATTGTTCAACTACTACTCCTTTTATAGTCTATCTTAAAAACGTTGTCAAATTATAAATATTCAATCATTTGCGTTATTTTCCACTTCAATCAATTCAAAATTGTTTATATTTTCATGAAAATTACTAATTTGAACTAATAATTACATCTTTATATATTAAAAGTAGGGTCAAATACGTTTTACTTTGAAACCTGTTCAACTACTGGGTACTTTACCTTACTAATCACTTATTTTGGATATTAAATTATAAATTGTGGGTTTTATACTTTCGACATTGAGAGCTGTAATATTTATATTTTTGCCACCCCGATATCCGCTTTACTGTTTGAAACTATAAAAATTAACCGGAATCCGAGTGAATATTACAGTTTACTTTTCTCCGTGTGGCGAAAGGACCTCCTTAATATTGAGAGACTAAAAATTACATTAATTAAAAAATGGCTATTGAAATTAATTGAGATGACTTAGAATAATAATCAATGAATGAATTGAAAAAAATTCAATGCAATTTTCTTAAATCTGTGAGGCTTGTAAACTTTCTATCGATAACTTTCGGCACCAGCGGGGGCTCGAGTCTCAGATTGTCTCCCTCGAGGGTAGAAGCCTCCAAAGGGTGCGCTAGAATGAACTTATCGTCCGAATCAGAGTCGGAATCTTCAGAATTAGATTCCCGATTTATTTCTTCGCTGAGAGGCGAGAATTTTGACTCGATCGACTTTATCGAGGAACGAACCCTGGGCGGCTTGGAAATATTAATCTCCTGGAAATCGAGCTTGTGTTTGATCCCGCCGAAGGTCTGGTACTTGAGGGTCGAGAAATCGACGACCTCATCGTCGCAGAGGATGTAGTTTTTGGCTTCGAGGTTGTTGTACTCGCCTTTGGCTTGCCGGCGCTTGATCCCACCGAAAGTGTGGAATTTGTGGGAGTTCAGGATCCAGTATTTCCGCCCGTCCGAGAAGGAGGGCTCGTCCGACCTGCTGGAGTCCCAGTCAAGCTTCAGGACATCGTCCAGCTCCTCGTCGATCGAGATCAGCGATGAATCGCAGTCGTTTGAGTAGTCGTTGTCGTTGGACTCTATTGAATACATTCCTGAGTCCCGGTCCCCCGCGAACCCTCCGGATCTTCTTATCGTGACCTCGTCTTCGTAGATCGGGTTTGTAGTCACTAAGTCGGAGGCTGGGTGCTCGGAAAAGAGCGCTTGGTCTGACTTGTGAGGCCAATTGTCGTCGAATTTAGGGAAACTGTCGTTTGTTAAAGTGGAGGTGTCTGTAGTGATTTTAGTAGAGAGATTTGGATTTGATTGAGATTGATCCATGTAAATTAGAGGGTTGGTTACGAAATGTGAACTGATATTGCTACCGCGGTAGGTTCGTCTGTGTAGATCACGGCGAAGAGAAGATTCTTCTAATTTTTCTAGTCCGTCACTCACCTGCTGTTCGAAATCGCTCCCGATTGAACTCGAATGATGAGACAGTGAGCTGCTTGGTCGGCTTGAATTTGATGTTCCTGGACGGTGGAATTTATCACCTCGCGGAGATTTTGATTCGTTTATGTAATAATCGCGGCCAAATCTAAATTTATAAAATTATTTATTTTATTTTTTAGTAAAATTTTTTATTTTAAGCTTATCTTTTTTAAAATTGATAAGAAATTGAAAAGAAAAAAAAAAAACTAACATTTTTATTAAAAAATTAATAATAGAAACTTTTTATAAAAAAAAAATGTTCTTATAAAGAAACTAATATTTATATTAAAAAAAAAAAAATTAATAAAAAAATTTTTCCATAAAAAAAAATGATAATTTCATATAAAAATTTTTTTTATAAAAAAAATTAATCAAAAAAACTTTTTATAAAAAAAAAATTAATAAAAAACTAAATTAATAAAAAAAAAAGGGAAAAATTACAATATATAATATAAACGTGGCGCTTCGTATATAGAAAACTGAAAAAATTACAGTTTCAAATTACAATTATTACATTAAAATGTAAATATTAAATTCTACAATGTAATTCTTATAAATCTGTAATAATTACAATCTGAAACTGTAATTTTTACAGTTTTCTATACACAGAAAAAAAAATGTTCTTGAATCAAGTATATAATTGTGAAGAACATCATTTTCTTGATTTGAGTAAAAAAATTCTTAAACTAAGAAATTATTACTTGGTTTAAGTAAATTTTACTTGATTAAATAATTTTTTATCTTGATTCAAGACAATTACCTTCTTCAAAATTATTTTCTTGGTTCAAGAATTTTCCTCTCGAATCAAGTTAATTTTTTTTTTCAGTGTACGGAGCGCCAAGTTTACATTATATAATCTAATTTTTCTCTTTTTCTTTTTTCCGTGTGATAAAAAATTTTTTTTCATAAAAAAAAATAACTAAATTTTACAAAAATTATATTTACCTCTTAATATCAGGTCGATTATTACCAAAAAGAATTTGTAGAGGAGGACTTTGACTAGTTGGTAATACATTAGAATTTCTAAAAAAAAAAAAAAAAAATTTTAATTAATTTCTCCACTCAATAAAAGCGCAAAAAATGCCTTTAAAAAATTACCCAGTGACGTCAGATGATCTAGTGGCATACTGGCGCTCCAAGAGCCGCTTGTTAATATTCTCAGGACTGTAAGGATTATTCTCAATAGGCGCCGCGTTTTCCCACTTCTTGTGCTCACGCTCCGCGATCGTGCCTGCAAATAAATAGTCGCCTTTTATTTATAAATAAAAAAAAAACAGTAAACTCCAGCTCCGGGACTCGAAACTAGTTTACCGAATTTTTGTTGCCTAAAAAAACAACTTTTTCCCAAAAAAGATTTTATACCTGGTCGCGGTGGAGCCGACAGCTCAAGGTCAGTTTCTTGAACTTCTTCGCTCCGCTCCAATGATTTCGTTCCTGATACCTTGGACTCGCTCTTGGCCGCTGCTTCGCGACATTTTCTGCACAACCGAACCATTGTTTCATTAAAATCACCCGCAAACCAATGAAAGCTCAATAAAATAATATATAAAAAAATATATGTGTCTACTAAAACATCAAGGTTATAATTGATAATAAAAAACAAATGAAAAAAAAAAAAAAATTAATGATTAAATAAAATTACCCTTCAGTATTTTCTTCAATTTCTAATATTTCAATTTCATTTTCCACCGAATTATTATCTTCATTATTATTTTCAATAATTAACGAATCATAATCATCATCATCATCATCATCATCATCATCATCATCATCATCATCATCAATATCAATAGACTCAAGTTTAGCATTTAATTTATCAAAATCACAAAAATTTTTATTTATCTCCGTGACTTCATATTCACAAAGCGAATTTCTAGCCGGCGTAGAAGTCGGCGTTTTTGGCACTTGTGCTACTAATTCATCTAAACAATTTTTTACTCCGTAATTTTCCTCAATATCTTCCTCCAAATGGCCATTTGTAATTACACATTCCTCAATAACTTCATCTCCAACTAAATTTTCACTATCCTTGTTATTGCTCGCAATAGTTTCCTTGAGAGCGTTACAAGGAGGCTCCATTTTGTCGCTTTTAGGCGGGTGGCCATCTTGGCCATCTTGGCCGTCCAAGTGAGCAGTAACAGTCGCGAGAGTTTCCTTCTCTGAGTCTTTGGTATCACTGGATTTTTCAGGTCTCACGTGATTAATGACCTGGATCAAATCCTCGTCGATTTCGTCATCGGATTGCGCGGAAAATTCGGACAAGTCTGACGTGTCCTCGGCGTCTTTATCGCCTATTAAAGCTCGGTATTCAGCGCTCGGGTTTGGCACTAACATGGCCACGGGTTCTGACTTTATCGCGATTTTCTTCTTTTGAAACAGCCAATTTTCTTCCCACGACTCTACTAAGGTAATATGGTCCACGTGTGCTGCGTCTATCTCATCTTCATTATCGTCTTCTTCTTCTGACGAGTCTTGAGATGCTAAAAATTATTTTAATAATTAAAACTAGCAACCTTGCAGTCACTATGTGACTGCTGTGACTTTTTAACTATAAATAAATAAAATTTTGCTTTATTAATTAATAACTTTTGTTAAATTGCACTGTACTTTTTTAACTATTGATATTTTTAAAGATATAAGCTCATCCCGATGTTACACTCATCAAGAGCTTTCATTTGAGTACCCACATGCATTTTGATATATTTTTCATATATAGGTATATATAATATATATAAATATATGAAAAATTGATGTGGGTACTCGAATGAAAGGTCTCGATGAGTGTAATATCGGGGTGAGCTTATATATTTAAAAATGTCAGTAGATGACAAGATACAAGGTTATTTCTTAACTATTGACATTTTTGAAGATATAAACTCATTTCGATGTTACACTCATCGAGACCTTTCATTCGAGTACCCACATGGCATTTTTCATATATTTTATACATATGGTATTTGTGAAATATATATAATATATATAAATATATGAAAAATTGATGTGGGTATTTAAATGAAAGGTCTTGATGAGTGTAACATTGGGATGAGCTTATATCTTTAAAAATGTCAATAGTTCACAAGATACAAGGTCATTTCTTAATTATGTATCTAGAGATAAAGCATTTTTGAATGCAACCGAAATACTTATCATCATAAATTGACTATTGGTAAGAATGATATGAAACCTTGAAAAAGCACAACTTCAGGTCAAGACCTTTCTAATGATATCAAATTCAACCATAAATATTTTTCTTATTCTATTAATAATATAGATTAAAATTTTTTTAAATATTTTATTAAAAATTAAACTTACGGTCGACAATATCCATTCCAAATTCCGGAAACGGGACACGTTTAGCGTTGCTAAAGTTAAGAACGCTATTCTTGATGCACTCAGGCTCTTCATCGGATGCATAGGTAGTTGTTATCTCTTCAATTTGTTCTTCAATCTACAATAAAATCATGATTTATTAATATCATACTTATTTACAATTGCTAAAATAACTTTAAATTTAAAATAAAAAATGGGTAATAACTTTTATGTTGTAAGAGTAGTAGTAATAACTCAAATTCCAGAACAAGGTCATTTTTCCAATTAGTTGGAATAGATAAATAAAATCAATAGATAAAACAACCGCACCGGCCAATAAAATGTAATGATTATGATTTAATAAATATCAATTTAACTACTTTCTTTTCCGATCGAATCGCAATTACTGAAAATTTCGAATATTTTATACTTTAATACTCGGGTTTTTAGTAAATTGCTAACGCTGCACTTTCACAACTTATTATTTAATTTTTAAAAAGTTCGCGTTATTTTTTACTTTGATCGACAAAAAATTTAAATATAAAATATATCAGCAGTTTTATAATTACCGTAAGTGATAATGGGTCAGAACAAATCCTTCTTCTTAGTTTGTTTTCTGGAGAATTTGCAAATTCGTCTCCTAATTCTTTGTCTAACATCATTTTATTTTTATCTAAAAATTAAAATTTTTAATATTTAATTAATAAATTATTTAAAATAAAAAAATGTAATCAGCAAACGCTAGAATATTTTTTTAAAAAATAAAATACTCATAAAAAATTTTTTTTTTAAATTGCATTTATAATTTTTTATTCTAAAAATTTAAGATAATTTTAGTATAAAAAAATAATACATACTTTTTAAAAATTTTCTTGTCGAATTATTAACATTCCCATCTGCATTTTTTTGGTACTTTTCAATTACCTGTAAAAAAAAAAATTTTTTAAATTAAAAATTTTTTAATTTTTGAAAATTTATTTTATAAAATTTTGCTATTAAAAAGAAAAATGAGTTACTTTATTTAATATGGCAGCAGCAAGTAGATCCTCGTAGTCTTGCTCGGCGACAGTAGTACTGGTGCTTTGCTGAGTTCTCGTAGATACTGTATCTCCAAGTCCCGGTAGTTTGCGGGCCTCGTCGACCGCACGTTCAACAAGCTCTCGCAGAGCCGTGTGCGCCATACTGGGTCTATCTGCGGCTGGTTTGTCTAGAACATACGCACAAACAATATTCACATTAACGCAAAACTTATATTGCAGAATTAGACTTTTTATCGATCACAGCAAGTGAGAGCTAGAGCTGCCGACCCTCCACTGGAGAGATCGATCAAATTCACACATCTCTACTCACAGTATCATATAATATTTCCTTTTTCTTATTCTACTCCCGCGTAAATGTAAGCCGATACCGATTGGGAGCAAAATAAATAAATAATTTATCAATTGGTAATTTCAAGCGAAAGTGCTTCGACTTTGCTTCGGTATCGGAATTTTAATTCTTTGGCGTAAAACTAGATTCTCTTGTTCGTATTAAATTTAATTAGAAAAAAAAGTGAAAATTGGGGAAAAAAAGCGAATAATTATTACTTGCAAATAAATTTGCTTATGAATTTATAATTTAGACATTATTTTTTGTTTATTGTTATTATGATTTAAACCGCAGGTTTTTTACGGTAATAAATAGCTGCACTTTCTTTCTTATATTAGGAATGGAGTCGAGCGTACAAGACCGTTATAGGTCGAGTCTTTAAATGCTGGATAAATCGCGATCGTTTACATCAATTGACAGTGCTAATGTAATTTCTCCTTGGCGACCTTGTCCATATTTTTTAACTTTTTTCCTTAATGGAGAAATTTCGGTCCGATAACCTGTCTTTAACTTTTACTACTTTTTTTTTTGCTTTGATGATTTTTTAATTTTAATATTTTTTTAATAAAATGATTTCTCGTATCATAATTAAATAATTTAGTTTAAATAACGGGTTGACAATTTTTTTTTTATATAAAAATTTCAAAAAGTTTTTATTTATGACCGAGAATCAGTGATTGGCACTAATGATTTTTTTTTTTTCATTATTTTGATAATATTTTTTAATTTTTTCAAAAAAATTATTATTTGTAAAAATTTTTTATTTATTTTTTAAAAATAAAAAAATATTTCAATCAATAATTTTAAGTTTAATTTTTATCAATTATAATTTTTCCTTAAAAAAATTATGCATTTTTTTTCTAATTATAAGTAAAAAAAATTAGTAAAATTTTTTTACTAATATTTACTTTTTCTAAAAAATTTATCATTAATTTTTATTTTCCAAATTAGGTAATAAAATTAAAAAAAAATTTCTTCGCCAATCACTGCTTGGAATTTAAAAAGCTGCATACTTAACACAGAATAAAAAATTATTATTTGTAAAAAATTTTTATTCATTTTTTTAAAATAAAAAAATATTTCAATCAATAATTCTAGTTTTTAATTTTTATCAACTATAAATTTTCCTTAAAAAAATTATGTATTTTTTTTCTAATTATTATTATTATTATAAATTAAAAAAAAAAATTAGTGAAATTTTTTTACTACCTAATGTTTAATTTTTCTAAAAAATTTATCATTAATTTTTATTTTCCAAATTAGGTAATAAGAAATAAAAAAAATTTCTTCGCCAATCACTGCTTGGAATTTAAAAAGCTGAATACTTAACACAGAATATAAATAACAAAGTCACGTTTAATTCAAAATAATTTTCTAGTCAATTAGAAAAGTCGGCATCCATGCCAAAGATTATCTAACAAAAAAATTCTCTTATGACTCAGACGCACTTTCTAGCCTCAATTCTCAATTTAAATCGAATAAACCATTAAATTAAGTACAATGGAACTGAAGAATCCGCGGAGTAACTTTTCCACCGGTAAAAATCTCCAGCCGAAGGTGGAAGGTGTGGTCGTGTGATTTTCCCCGGAGCGATTAATTTACCAGGAGAAAAAATGTATCCGCTGTAAAAATCCAAAGTTTATCAACGACAGCTAAACCGGCGGATCGAGTTGATGGACAAGTTGTGTGAAAACGGACATATCTCTTATTCTATGTAAACAAACAGCTCTTCCAGCTCAAAGTAATGTCACTTGTATTAATACACTCAAGATATATACAAGCGAGCCTTTTTTATCGATACATAAATGAGTATGTAAGTGAGTAAGTGTTTTCGAGCTTTCTAGCGGTGATCTCTCATTAACAGAAGACAGAATAGAAGGTCGTTTCCTCATCCTAATCTCACCAATGTCACTTTCTTATTCCATTTATTCCAGTCCCTCACACTCAGCCTCGATAAATCTTTAACTTTGATTTTGCATTGATAGAAAAATTTATTTTATTTAGAGAAAAATTATTCGATCAAAAAAATTAATTTAAAGAGTTTGATCGTCTTAAAATAAGTAGAGAAAAATTTTATAGCTATTACAAGTTCGAAAAAAATTTTTTTTTTAATTATTTATTTTTTTTTTTAAAGAAAAATTCGTAAATTTACAATAATTTTGATGTAAAATTTTTTGGTTCAATAATTTTTGAACTTGAATCATAAAAAAATTTTCTTAGTTCAAGAATTGGTTCTCAATTTTTTTTAAAGAAAAATTCATAAATTTACAATAATTTTAATGTAAAATTTTTTGGATTAAAAATTTTTGAACTTGAATCATAAAAAAATTTTCTTAGTTCAAGAATTGGTTCTCAATTTTTTTTAAAGAAAAATTCATAAATTTACAATAATTTTAATGTAAAATTTTTTGGATTAAAAATTTTTGAACTTGAATCATAAAAAAATTTTCTTAGTTCAAGAATTGGTTCTCAATTTTTTTTAAAGAAAAATTCATAAATTTACAATAATTTTAATGTAAAATTTTTTGGATTAAAAATTTTTGAACTTGAATCATAAAAAAATTTTCTTAGTTCAAGAATTGGTTCTCAATTTTTTTTAAAGAAAAATTCATAAATTTACAATAATTTTAATGTAAAATTTTTTGGATTAAAAATTTTTGAACTTGAATCATAAAAAAATTTTCTTAGTTCAAGAATTGGTTCTCAATTTTTTTTAAAGAAAAATTCATAAATTTACAATAATTTTAATGTAAAATTTTTTGGATTAAAAATTTTTGAACTTGAATCATAAAAAAATTTTTTCAAAAAAAATTTCTTGGACCAAAAATATTGCTCTTAATTTTTTTAATCAGTATGATTATGATTATATTTAAACTATTTTTTCAATAAAAAATAATTAAAAAAATCAAAGAGTTTTATCATTTAATCATATCGGGCTTTTCGTTATCAAAACTCACACATTACGCGAAGGAGATATTAAAAAAAAGATTATCAACCGGAAGGTGAGATGAATCGTACACGAGGTCTGATGTGTGTTTTCTTATCCATTTGACGCTCCTACACATAATAATGTAATATAAAATCTAACTGAGCGCGTCTTTCGCACGAATTATAAAACCTTAATTATCTCACTTAGACAGTTTCTCATAATTAATTCAACGTCCGGAATAATTAGTCTCATTTGTCTCGTTAAATTTGTCAAGTTTTTGTTTTTGTCTCGCCTCTAATCATCCAAGTTCAACAATTAAACTCGCCGGTGTAATTACAACTTACTACAGCTTTATTTGTAATTAATAGAATAAAATAAAATAAGTATTACCATTTTTCTTATAGAAAAAAATGTAGACAAAGTAGAAAAAAATAAGGCCGCCGATTAACTGTAGCATCTCCTTAAAGAATTGCAGCAACATCGAGCCCACGTTTTTTATTATTTTACTTATTTTTTAGACCACACACTTTGTCCGCTTACAAGTTGCACTTTCATCTTACAAGCTTTGACATTACTTTTTAAAAGTACTTTGTTAATTTTAGTTTTTTTACGACCCACTGACAATTAATAGGTGACTTCATGCTCTTATCAGGCTTCTAACTAATTGATTTTTTGACATTCTTTCTGAGAAATATTTTATCGTTTGATAAATAAATGTTTTTTTATTAAAAAAAAAATTTGTGGTTTTATTTTTATCTAAATTTTTTTTCAGTTTCAATTATTTTTTTGACCTTACAAAGTAACCGAAGAAATTCTATTAACATAAATTTTCTCAATGTCTCGTTGAATATTTATAGAAAAAATTCTTTAGGCTTCAATTAAATTGATTACTAAACGGTACAACAATTCACATGTTCTTTTTTAGTACCATAAAATAAGCCGATAGATTTTATTTGAAATTATCGGGGATTTTCGTCACGTGTTTTTCACACGCTTGAAACGACATAACGGAGTTTTTAAGATTCCACGCGAGGTTCCCGTTCAATTAACGCTATCAAAGTTCAAGGTCTCGATTTTTGTTATGTTGTTATTTAATTTATATATATATTTTCCGATATTATCAACGCTTAAACATTTAAACTCGGGTAACATTTATCCGCGGTTATTATTATCCGATGATGCACTCGCGACCTTTAATCGCCGACAAAACAACTTTTATAATAAACTCATTATCATTTTATTAATAATGGAATCTTATTTTTTTGTGTCGCGGCCTTAAGGCGTTTTTATAAAAAATAAAATAGTACAAGTTATTTATTTTTTTTTTTCTAGGAAAAAAAAATTAATATTGATGTCCTAGGGTATTAAATTCAAGGTTGAACCGGGAGCACGCGCGGATTGTTTTCACCAACATTTTTTGCCCGACTATTTTTAAAATTAATTTTTCTTTATTGCTGTCATTTAAAACGAATTACTCGGAGCATGTCGGTGACTTTGTTCGACAACCAAATAAGTCTTTACTGATAAGAAACTGAGTATTAAAATTTAGATAAAAAATTTAACAGTTTACCCTAAATAATTAAATAAAATTAACTAGAAAATTTCGAGCCTTTTTTATCGATACATAAATGAGTATGTAAGTGAGTAAGTGTTTTCGAGCTTTCTAGCGGTGATCTCTCATTAACAGAAGACAGAATAGAAGGTCGTTTCCTCATCCTAATCTCACCAATGTCACTTTCTTATTCCATTTATTCCAGTCCCTCACACTCAGCCTCGATAAATCTTTAACTTTGATTTTGCATTGATAGAAAAATTTATTTTATTTAGAGAAAAATTATTCGATCAAAAAAATTAATTTAAAGAGTTTGATCGTCTTAAAATAAGTAGAGAAAAATTTTATAGCTATTACAAGTTCGAAAAAAATTTTTTTTTTAATTATTTATTTTTTTTTTTAAAGAAAAATTCGTAAATTTACAATAATTTTGATGTAAAATTTTTTGGTTCAATAATTTTTGAACTTGAATCATAAAAAAATTTTCTTAGTTCAAGAATTGGTTCTCAATTTTTTTTAAAGAAAAATTCATAAATTTACAATAATTTTAATGTAAAATTTTTTGGATTAAAAATTTTTGAACTTGAATCATAAAAAAATTTTTTCAAAAAAAATTTCTTGGACCAAAAATATTGCTCTTAATTTTTTTAATCAGTATGATTATGATTATATTTAAACTATTTTTTCAATAAAAAATAATTAAAAAAATCAAAGAGTTTTATCATTTAATCATATCGGGCTTTTCGTTATCAAAACTCACACATTACGCGAAGGAGATATTAAAAAAAAGATTATCAACCGGAAGGTGAGATGAATCGTACACGAGGTCTGATGTGTGTTTTCTTATCCATTTGACGCTCCTACACATAATAATGTAATATAAAATCTAACTGAGCGCGTCTTTCGCACGAATTATAAAACCTTAATTATCTCACTTAGACAGTTTCTCATAATTAATTCAACGTCCGGAATAATTAGTCTCATTTGTCTCGTTAAATTTGTCAAGTTTTTGTTTTTGTCTCGCCTCTAATCATCCAAGTTCAACAATTAAACTCGCCGGTGTAATTACAACTTACTACAGCTTTATTTGTAATTAATAGAATAAAATAAAATAAGTATTACCATTTTTCTTATAGAAAAAAATGTAGACAAAGTAGAAAAAAATAAGGCCGCCGATTAACTGTAGCATCTCCTTAAAGAATTGCAGCAACATCGAGCCCACGTTTTTTATTATTTTACTTATTTTTTAGACCACACACTTTGTCCGCTTACAAGTTGCACTTTCATCTTACAAGCTTTGACATTACTTTTTAAAAGTACTTTGTTAATTTTAGTTTTTTTACGACCCACTGACAATTAATAGGTGACTTCATGCTCTTATCAGGCTTCTAACTAATTGATTTTTTGACATTCTTTCTGAGAAATATTTTATCGTTTGATAAATAAATGTTTTTTTATTAAAAAAAAAATTTGTGGTTTTATTTTTATCTAAATTTTTTTTCAGTTTCAATTATTTTTTTGACCTTACAAAGTAACCGAAGAAATTCTATTAACATAAATTTTCTCAATGTCTCGTTGAATATTTATAGAAAAAATTCTTTAGGCTTCAATTAAATTGATTACTAAACGGTACAACAATTCACATGTTCTTTTTTAGTACCATAAAATAAGCCGATAGATTTTATTTGAAATTATCGGGGATTTTCGTCACGTGTTTTTCACACGCTCGAAACGACATAACGGAGTTTTTAAGATTCCACGCGAGGTTCCCGTTCAATTAACGCTATCAAAGTTCAAGGTCTCGATTTTTGTTATGTTGTTATTTAATTTATATATATATTTTCCGATATTATCAACGCTTAAACATTTAAACTCGGGTAACATTTATCCGCGGTTATTATTATCCGATGATGCACTCGCGACCTTTAATCGCCGACAAAACAACTTTTATAATAAACTCATTATCATTTTATTAATAATGGAATCTTATTTTTTTGTGTCGCGGCCTTAAGGCGTTTTTATAAAAAATAAAATAGTACAAGTTATTTATTTTTTTTTTTCTAGGAAAAAAAAATTAATATTGATGTCCTAGGGTATTAAATTCAAGGTTGAACCGGGAGCACGCGCGGATTGTTTTCACCAACATTTTTTGCCCGACTATTTTTAAAATTAATTTTTCTTTATTGCTGTCATTTAAAACGAATTACTCGGAGCATGTCGGTGACTTTGTTCGACAACGAAATAAGTCTTTACTGATAAGAAACTGAGTATTAAAATTTAGATAAAAAATTTAACAGTTTACCCTAAATAATTAAATAAAATTAACTAGAAAATTTTTTAACCCAAATTACATGATTAATTTTACAATTTTTTTTTTTAAATTAATTAATCCACTGTCACTTTGTAAATAGCCAAAAAAAAACCTCCGCAGCCGGTGATCCGAACTATCAGTTAAAATCACAGCCCCGCTTGATTAAAAATTGCCGATTGAGGCTGGGCAAAAATGGATGTAATATAATAATAAATAAGAATGAATCGCGAATGAACCAGAATCGCAGGCTGCACGTAATCGCAAGCGGTTCAGGTCTCGACTGAACGTCGTAAAGGCAAGGTTGATATACGAGCGACGTACCCCACATACTCTTGTACGACTTCTTCTTCTTCTCCTTTACTTGTTCTCTGGTTTTATTTAGTGGGGATAATTTTGTGTGGACCTATATATTTTTCTAAATTCTCCAGTGCAGTTTTTTAAGAACATGTAATATAAATAAGGGATATTATATACTCTGGATTATTTTTTTTAAAGACTTTCGTTGGTTTAGAGTCTCAACAAATGTAGACATATTGATATTATAATGACCCAGTCTATTATTTTCTGCATGCGCAGACTTTGGAACATGCACTTTATATTTTATTTATTATCTCATTGTTTTTTTTTTTTTAGAATTATATTATAATAAATAATTATTATGAAAAGATTTAACTTTTTGCATTTTATATCAATATTCTGCAAAAAATATCAAAGTTATAAAAAATTTAATTTCCTACAAAAAAATGTCTCTTATTATTTTTTCATATTTTGAATAATCTGTCCAAAATAATAATAAGAATAATAATTTTTTGAAAAATGAAATTTTTGATTTTTTTTTAAAGATTAATATTCTGTATAAAATATCAAAGATTTAAAAAAATTGATAAATAATTTTTTTATAGAAAATAATTTCCTACAAAAAATGTTTCTTATCATTTTTTTGTACCTTTAATATTTTGTCCAAAATAATGATAATAACAATTTAATCTTAAAACTATAATTTAAAAAATATTAAAGTATTATTATTTTTAGTTTTTTATTTATAATGATAATTTTTATAATTTTATCCCTTAAATATTATTATTTAAAAAATATCATTGACCTAATTTAGTAAATCAACATTAATAAAATAATAAAAATAAAAACTCCTTTTATCATTAAATAAATGAAATAATTTTTTAAAGTAAACATAAAATTTCGAAAATTACAAAGAAATAATTACGCTATAAAAAATATTTTTATTTAAAATAAATTTAAACAATATATAATTTGCAAATATAATAAAATGATTTGAGAAATAAATATTTATTATTTTAAAAATAATAGTACAATAAGAATCAATGGTCAACCGTGAGAATGTTTAACCTTTAAGCGACTTGGAGTCGAAAAAATCTATGCAACTTGAACTTAAGTTAACTTTCAAGGTATCCAATATGTATGAATATACATTTAAAGCTTAATATATGTGTGTGCATAAGTGGTAATAACATTGCACTGTGCCCGTAATTTTATGACTACTTGAATGAACTTAGGTACCTGTTTTTTGCAGTCCTGCCGTGTATATCACGTTTTATGCGTTTATGGAATTAAGTAACCGAAGAATAATAGAGTTAAACTGGTATAAAGAAAAATAAGATAAAAACAAGTGGAAAATACCTAGAGAATTTTTTGCCGGCAGGGTCACGGTGTCATCGAGTCATGAATAATCT